AGGGCGTGGGCTGCAGCAGTGCTGCAGTAAGCATCCATCTCATCTCCCCCCATCTGCCCAGCCCAGGGAGAACTACAATGTTGATCTGGCCCTCAAAGAAATCCAGTTTGACACCCCTGCTTTAAAGTCTTGGGTGAAGAAGTACTTATGTGTACATACCATGTAATCTTATGTCCATCATTTCTTCAAGCAAATAGTATAGCAGAGAACTGAGGATGCCTTGTGACAATTACATTTCATAAAGTAATTTTGCTAAATCCATAGGCAGCTTAACCAGAATTTAAATATGTAAAAGTTATATGTGAAACTGGTTGGAAACAGACAGTGAAATTCTAGACTCTTTATTTTATTGAATCTTTCTTTTTTTTTTGTCATTTCAGCTGCCAGGTACTGCAGTATGTTAATTGAAGAAGGTGGATTGCATCATTTGTTTAACATCAAGGAGAACAACCAGACTGATGCAGATGTTCAGCGAATTGCTGTCTCTATCTTAGATAGCTTAGAAAAACATATTTTGCGACACGGGCGGCCACCTCCTTATTAAAAAAACAAATTGAAGATAAGCCAAATTGAATGAAAATGTGTAATGGGGAATTGGTGTGCAAATTATCCTCTCATCATCCCTTACTGAAATGTCTCTGGTTGGAATAATGTTGATAAAAGTGATCGCATTAAGTTTTTGTCAGCTGGTATGGAAGCAGGGCTAGTACATGTTATCTTTAACAGCCTTCGACATTAAGGGATTATCAAAATGATCTGGAAAAAATCCTAACTGGTAATATCTACTGGTATGGCATCTGGTTGTAGAAAAGTGGAAATTGTGCCATTCAAATGCACATTTGAAATTAAACCTGTAGACCGTGTGAGTTCATCAGAAAATTGTTTCTGCTTGCTTCATCCCTTCAAAATAGTTGTGTAGAACTATTCACTGATTCAGTATTTGAAAAAAAAAACTATTTATGCTTGTAATGTCAGCACAATACAGCTCAAAACACTGTCATATATTCACACATTAGAACCCAACAGGTTATGAGTAAGGTGACCAGGGATGTTTGTTCTTCTGTGGATCCTTTAAACTCATGGATTCTTCAGTTTCTACTAATATTTCATATAAGCTCTTTAGCAGAAACATGTTTCAAACCATGGGGTGTTTTTTTTGTTCCATAATATACTTTGATGAAAATATCCATGGAGGAAGAAATGTAAGAATGGAAAAATTGAATCATAATTACAAAAAAAAGTAAGAATATATTATGTTGCTACACTTGTAACTAAGTGTAACTTTGAAACAAGAGTAAAGAAAACTAAAATTTTCTACCGAAAGAATTGCTGGGGAAATTTGCTTAATCTATGGGATTGTACATCTAATCACCTTATTTATGACAGACTGTTAATAGCTTTGTTCTTTCTCATAAATTCCTTGTCAGTATTTGTGCTGTGAGCTTTATGTGGAAGGCAATGCCATACAAAATCTCACCCAACATTTTATGTAAAGTCTGGTGTAAATTACATTCTTGTGTGGTATATTAAAATTTTTTACATAAAACATTCCATGATTAAAAACTTAATAATGCATATGTGTTGATGCTTAATGGAATAAGATGAAAATAGCAACAAAAAGTCCACTCTAAAATAGATGTCAACAATCCATGGTTTGGCTGAGGCTTACTTCCAAAGAAGTGCACTATAATGTGCTTCACCTAGTAGAGGTGTGAGGAAGCTGCACAATGGCTGACGCTATATCATAGTGGGAGCTAATCTGGTTACAAGAGAAATGACAATAGTTTCTATCTCTGAGAAATTAATTATGTGATTTTATGTATATGATTTTCAGAAATACATTTTAAGCTCAGTGAAAGATCTTAGAACATTTGCACAAAATTGTATCTTAAGGCTACAGTCTTGAATTTCAATTATTTGGGAGAAAGCCCCTCAGAATAAAAGAAATGTAACTTCTGAGATAGGTTTATGTGTGAATTATGGCTCCTATCCTGATTTTTCTTATAAATGACATAAAAACCAAAAAGAATGCTTGCTTCCCAACAAGTGTTTAATCTTATAATTTGCCCTGCCTCAAATGTGGATCCAGATGATCCTTCCATTCATAAACCTCCTGTGTATCCCATATTTCTGGGATAAGAAAACTCTTAAAAGGAAAAAAAACCTAGCTACATAATATATCAATATATTAAATCTCATTTCTTTCATTCTGATTTTAATCTCGAATATGGTATGCAATACTCTACCTTTACTAGCTATATTTCTAAAAATCCATGTGACTGAATGAATCCCAGGAATAATTAAGCTGTATTTTTGTACTATTCTTAGACACATAATTATGATCTGGCTCCAAGAATTTGGATAGAATGGGCACAAGATTTTGAAAGAGTTCTTAGGGAGTTGTCTTCTGAAATTCAAACCGGGTATGGTAATTTAATTTTTATCATCGATCTTCAAAATGATATTCATAGACACATTGAAGAGAAATAAAAATGGCTGAGTAGAGCCATTTTAATTAGAATTTTAAAAAGCAAATGGTATAATGACAATGTCTGCCTCTACTGGTCGTCTTCTGTGCCCCAACATGTTTACTGATTTTTTTTAAAAAAATTCTTATTTATTCCCTTTGGTGAATTCAAGCTACATCTGAACTTGAAAGAATGTCAAAAGTGTACCTTATCCAAATGCAACATCAAATTCCTGATTTAGGCCATAAATCTAAACTCAATTGCAGGAAATAAAAGTTCAGCAACAGAGTGTTCAATGTCTGGAATACACTACCTGACTCTATGGTCTCTTCCCCAAACCCCCCAAACTTTAACCTGTCGATTGTTGACCTCACCCCATTTCTAAGAGATCTGTAAGGGGTGTGCATAAGCGCAGCTACCGTCCCTGTCCTAATGTTTCCTTTTTATTTGTATCCATTTCATGAATTAATAATCTTGTTTATACTTATATGTTATCTAAATGCATGCTTGACTAAATAAATAATATAAATATAATAAATAGGTGTTCTGTCTCACCTGTGGCCACGAGGTGAGAGTCCAAATTTCCAAAGGAAAATACACAAACAGACAGGACCAGGAACGACAGAGTTAAATTCCTTTGGCTGAAGCAGTCCTTGGCAGTCTTCCAGAAGCTGCCTGCCAAGTCCGATAACGAGCAGAACCATAAATCAGAGACAAACGCAGCACAGATAATTTGTCCAAACTGCTAACTCAAATAAACAAGTTGACCCGAACGGGGATTCAGAGCTAACACGCCCCCTTATATTCCCTGAGGGGCATGTCAGTCTCTTTTCATGTTGTATTTCATGTTTCTGCCTGCGTCTTTGCCTTGCATCAGACCAACATTTCTCGGCTTGATCCTCAGCCAAGGACTCCGGCACGCTCTCCTGATTATCTGCTGACACCTGAGGCACAACCAGGGAGGAAGATTCTGGGGAGGAAGATGATTCCGAAACTTCCAGCAAAGCAGGCTCAAACCTCAGAGCCAAATCCTCCTCTTCCTCCTGGCTCACGTCTGTGTCTCCCAACAAAGCAGGCTCAAACCTCAATGCCAAATCTTCCTCATCACTCGAGCCTGTGTCTTCTAACAGAGCAGGCTCAAATCTCTGAGTCACAACAAATAGGTATGATAGAATACAACAGGACTTCAAAATTGGCGTGTTCAGGAATGTGCTAAAAAGAAACTGAAGTGATAAAGTCTCATTTCAGTTTTACTTAATTTTAAATTGGCCATCACAGAAGTTTGGATTAAGCAACAGAGCTTCGTCACCTCAATATGTGGAAATGAAGCCATAATGCTTTCTTACTGAGAATGCATATATTCCTGGCACTCTGGCTGCATCGACACAAAACACCGAACCACAAACTTGCCAGCCATCTCTTAACACAGGGATCCCCAAACTTGGCAACTTTGAAGACTTGTGGACTTCAACTCCCAGAATTCCTCAGCCAGCATAGCAACTGTTTATGCAGCATAAAGTTGCCAAGTTTGGAGACCTCTGTCTTAATGTGAGACTCTAGCCTGGTGGGTACTTCAAGTTTCAGGGAATTGTGCACATCTGGGAAACTAGTTTTACTCAAACTAGAACCTCTTATTCAGGTTTAGTTTCCCTCCTGGTAATGTTCGGACTTGTCCGTTTACTTGATAATATGGAAGTATGTTGACATTGCCTGCCTCCAGGATGTTTTTCAACTCCCTCGTCTAGTTTACAGCTTGGAACTTCCTAGTGGTTCCCCCCTATAATCTGGATTAATTCTTTGAAGTCTTCACACCAGACGTCTCCAAATTTATGCTATGCCGGCTGGAGAATTCTGGGAGTTGAAGTCCACAAGTCTTAAAGTTGCAGAATTTGGAGACTCCTGCTTCACGTGGACACGTCCATTCAGTTTTCTTGCCTTTATTCGGCAGTGTTTTGACTTCTTGTTCTATCCTACATTCCATATCCTTGGTATTTCTGTTCATCTACGTTTTAACTAGGTCAGGCTCTGCTTGTTTTCCTGCATCCAGACACGTGCAAAAACAAAAACAAAAAACCCTTATTAAAATCGTTCCTGCATCTTAAAAGAAAAAAAAAACGCACGAAGTAATTCTAACCAAGAAAGATATCTATTTCCTCTCGGCCTAAACCCACCTTAGAAAATACAACACAAAAAGCGAATGTTTGTTTCCACACTACACCAGAGGTCTCCAAATTTGGCAACTTGAAGACTTGTGGACTTCAACTCCCAGAATGTTAGGAGTTGACGTCCACAAGTCTTAAAGTTGCCAGGTTTGGGACCCGCTGCACTACAGCCTTCAACGAAACGAACAGCAGCCTTTCCGGCTTTCTGCGAGAACCAATCTCGTCCATCCGTCGCTCGACACTCGGCTCCGCTTCCCTGGTCAGCGAGACATCCTTTTCCTCAGTAACCGAATAAAGGCGGCCGCGCCCTAGTTCTGGCGGGTAAAAGGTTGTTCTTGTTTCCACTCAGGCCGCTTCCGGTTGTGGGTTGTTGTTGTTTTTTTTCCCCCCTCCCTCCGCTTTCCGGTTTGGGGTCGAGGGGAGAGTGGATGCCGGCTGTTTGCGATGGTTCGCTTCCTGCAGGTCCGCCAACGAGCCCCGCTCCCCGTTTGTGGAAACTGTCCGGCTGTGCAGGTGAGCGGAGCTGGAGGCGGCTTTAAAAGTCCGATCGAGAAGCGAGAGAGGAGGGACGGGAGGAGAAGAGAGCGTGATTAGGGAAAAGCCAGGGAAGCCAAGAAGGGAGGCTGGGGAGGGACGAAAATTTAAAACTTCTGCCTGAAAAATGTGGAGAAAAGGCAATGAATTAACACATAATTTTGTTGCTCAAAACACAGCTCTTCCAGATGGTATTTGAGTCATGATACTATACTGATTTCGTTAGTACTTTGGTACAGTTAATTTTATTTTATTACATTTATACTAGCTTGGAGGCCTTTTAAACTCACAGAATATTTTTGAGATTCTACTAATATTTCATACAAGCTCTTTCGGCAGAAATATCTGAGTTTCAAACCATAAATGGGCAGCTTACAAATATAATGAATAAATGGACAAATAAACTGAGTCAAGAGACACAGACAGTTACACTGATATAAATACAAACAAATTACAAGCAGTTCTTGCTTACCAATGGAAATTGGGACAGGGAATTTTGTCACAAAGTGATGCAGTCGTAAAGTGTGATGTCACATGATTGTACTAACTTATGATGGCAGTTCCAGCAGTCCCAACTGCTGCTAACTTTAGGCAAAAATGGCATGGTCACAGCATTCTGCAGTCATGTGGTTGCCTTTTTTGTGACCTTCCAGCTTCCCATTGACCTTGCTTGTCAGAAATTGGCAGTAAAAGTTGCAGTGGATACAACTACAAGCTCAGTTCCTAAGTCCTCATTCAGCGCTGTCACAACTTTAAGCAGTTGCTGAATAAGCAGTCATTAAACAAAGACCACCTGTAGGTATATGTTCCTGTTGAAGCTGGATAGTTCTTATCTATATCAGGTCTGTTTGAACATCTTGCCTTAGGGTAATATAAACACAACTTGGCAGTGTAATCAATCCTTGGAACATTATTTTCTGATTGATGTCATGATTGCAGGCAGAAGCTTCTCCATATTCTCTAGTTGACATCTGCTTGAATGTCTTGGTTGCTGATCTGGCAAAATTCTGTACGGAAAAGCCTGATGGATCACTGTACTTCAAAGAATCTCAAAGGCTTCCACAAGAAGTAGCTGATCGATTGCTGCAAATAATGGCTTATCAAGGTAAGAGATTTCTGGGCCCGAAGAGACAGAATGTTAACGAAGCAGGGTTCTGAATATGGGATTACTCATAAATTAGAACTCTTAATTCTGTTTATTTCACATGTTGGGGCTCTGAAGGATTCAGGAAAATAGTCCATGATTCAGTAGCATGTATAGTTATGCGTTGCTTAACAATGGCAATCCAGTCCCAATTTTCATCATAACTAGAGGTTAGTTTGGACTACTTTGAAAATACAGGTATCATTTATTAGTAGAGCTTTACCAGCTGGCAGTTCTTAGCTAATCCTGGCTGATTTTGGAAATTGAACATGTTTGGTTGTAGTTAGTGTTTAGATGGGCAACCGCTTGGGAATTTCAGTGCTGTTGGTTTAACCTGTGAAGTTGCAAAAAATATTCTGGAAGAAGGCAGTAGTTAACTACTTCTGTAGTACTGCCAAGGAAGTGACACATATGCATTATCGGGAATCAAGTATAAATTGTGGAAATTTTTATCATTAATAGGCAAATAGGAAACAGTTGGACTGATTTCAGAACTTTACTTGGTCTGATATATATCTTTTTTTTCCCCTTTTACTGCCAGAGTTGTTAAATGATGGTACAGTGGGCATTTTCCAAGGCAACCAAATTCGTTTGAAGCAAGCTTGCATCCGCAAAGCGAAAATCTCAGCCCAATCCTTCAAGAAGGCCTTTTGCCATCATAAACTAGTACAGCTTGATGCTGCAGGAATGAATGAAACTGTTACCATTGCAGATGTTGTGAGTGGCTTGGGAAGCAATAAATGGATCCAGAACAATCTCCAGTACCTTGTCCTGGACTCTTTAACTCTTTTTCCTACAAATTCGTATGAAAGATTCTTTAGTCAGTTTCACGGTCTTCGGTCTTTGAGTATTACAAATGTGTTGTTCGGGGATGAACATCTAGCAGACGTTGCTACCCTGCCAAGATTAGAAAGCTTGAATATATCCAACACTTCTGTTACAAACATATCTGCACTCCTCGCCTGCAGGAATCGTCTGAAATCTCTAACTATGTACAGTTTGAAATGTTTGAAAATGCCTACCACAAAATTCTTAGATGTCATCAGAGAACTAAAGTATCTGGTTCACCTTGATATCTCAGACAATCAGCATTCTGGATCCGAGATTGCCTTTTGTTTGCTAAGGCAAAAAGACATTCTGCCTAATCTTGTATCATTGGACATTTCAGGGAACAAATCTATTACTGATGAAGCCGTAGAAGCGTTTGTCAGACAGCGGCCGCGAATGCACTTTATAGGTTTGTTAGGTACAGCAGCTGGATTCACAGCGTTCCTTTCAGGACAGGGAAGCTTGAAGGTTGGGACCATTGAAATGCACTGCAGTTAGAGTGATAATTGATAAAATCAGAAGATTGCATGATTTGAAAACCTAACTGTAGCTCTAGTTAATTTATTTGCAGCATAGAACTAATAACGTTGATACTACTAAGGTTTCGGTCTTAAAAATGGTTATATATATATTTTTTTTAAGATTAAAGAAAGTAACTAAATAACTAACAGCTTTCTTGTACTAACACAAAAGATGTATGACTTTTGCCTATTGTTCTCAAACCAACAGATAAAGCTGTTGCTAGCGGAAAAAATATTTTCCTCCCGTCAACTGAAAAAAGATCTGATTTAATACTAACAAAACCCAAAGTTTGATTTTTACGTCATCATACAAATGCTGGGCCACCCCTGAAGTTCCTCCACAATGTAACAGGCTGACCCAGGTTCACTTTTAATAAAAGCAATAGCTAAGTAAGCCATAGATTTGGTTGGAAAGTAATATATTGTATATCGTAGAATCTTTAGATCATTTTTGTCTAAAGACAGTTTCTTGTCAGCCTTGCTGATTAACTCATAATTCAGTACAGCTTCACTATTTCAGCCTAGCGGAATGGAGAAGAGTGACAAAAGTGATTTTGTGCTTTAAAGCAGGGGTCCCCAACCCATGATCCGTGGACATGGTACTGGGTCGCCGCATGCCAAAAAACTAGGCCATGCGGGCAGAATGTGAAACCATGCCCCCGCTGGTCCCGTAAAAACCTCTCTCTATGGAACCGATCCCTGGTGCCCAAAAGATTGTCTTAAAGTAATAATACTTAATCCTGGCTTAAAGTATTGTTGCAAGACTCATGCTAACTACTAAAATTATTTTGTTCAGAGTTACACTAAAGAAATGAAATCTTCATGTATTGAAAGGTATCAGGAGGAGAAAATGAAATGCAGGTTTTAGAAGCTCTGAAACGCTACAATGAAAGGCCAACATTTGTGAAGGAGGCCTTCTTTCATCTTTTTCTGCAAACCTGTTTTATGAAAATTACAAAGCCTGAAATTTTAAAGGTGAGGGAGTTTAATTTGAAAGAAATAATTGCTTACCAATTGTTGAAGCTTAACCATATTCAGTATGTTTCATTTAAAATGTAAAGATACAAATAGGTTTGTGTCCTTCGATTTTTTTTTTCTTAGAAAACTATATAATGTATTAAAGTTCTCGTTACTGTCTCTTTTCATCTTGTAGCTTGTGATTGTTGGGATGAAGAATCACCCTTTGGATTTGGCAGTACAGTTGACTGCTAGTGCTTGTGTCCTTAATTTAACTAGGCAAGGCCTAGCAGCAGGCGTGCCTGTTCGTCTGCTCTCCAGTGTAATTCAGCTGCTCCTTAAAGCCATGGAAACATTTCCTGAACAACGGCAGGTAAGGATATAGAGTAGGATATCCTGTACAAACACACACACACAAGTTTGCACAAATCACTCCTACTATGTACTTGGTGCGGCTGATTTTGAATTACTTTACTGAGAGGAAAAACAGACCCCTGGAGGTCCTGTTTCATTGCCAGACACAGCGGGCATACATTGGATTTTTTTCACTTACATCGATCTTTTCTTTCCCTGGGAGAAAAATGCAAAGCTTTTGCTTGTGCTTTTCATTCATCAATATGCCGCATAGGATTATGTGGCCTACCCGTTGCTTCTGCCGAGCTGGATTTACACACACCCAGTTGTAGAAGTTGTTTGATATGCCATTCAAAAGCATTAAGTTATTTTATTTAGTAATAATTCCCTTTCCTTTAAGATTCAAAGCACTAAAAGCATACACGTCTTAATTGACCATTTTATGAACAATTAATAATTCAAGTTCTGAATATCACATTTTTGTAATATTGAACTCTTTTTTTCTTCTTTCCACACAGCTCCAGAAGAATTGCCTTCTTTCATTATCTAGTGTCAGGATTCTCCAAGATGTTCCATTTAATAGGTGAGTGACATTCTTTGAATGTTTCACAGTACAAACAGTCAACTGAAAGTGAAGCCTTAATCTGGATGAAAGAGGTTTTCCTTTTTATGCAATAACATTAAGCTATCTTCTTACATACTGTACATCCCATCACCAAATTAAAATTCAGATCTCTGCTTTTTCAAGCACGCATGTTCATGGTTTGTTAATCTCTTTTTGTAATGAAAAGACTGACAATGTTGAGTAGATTCTCTGTTTTAATGCTCAATTTAAATTCAGTTTAAATTCAATTTAGATGTGATGCCAATAAACTAAAACTGTGTTTTGTGGAACTTTGTGAGACATCTCCCCAAAACTTGGTCATCTGAATATGTATCATTGGAATACTAAGAATCTGGATTAAGTGGTTGTCGTATTTACGAGGCCTAATTTCCATACAATTGAAGTACCACATAGAAAAGCTATTTATACTTTGTATGAACATTGTATTTATAATCAGATCTCCCGTATTAGGCCATAGATAGCAGATTGAAACAAATACTGTATCAGTAAAGCATTACTGATGAATTTTTTCTGTAATGGTTCATTCTGCACAAAATTTTAAAAATCCCTTAGCATAGATTTGATAGAGGAGCTGTTGTTCAGGGGTTAAATTTTCTATGCATGCATTATAATTATTGGCATCTATAAATAGTAAAACTTGTGTGCACCAGATCATTAATTCAATTTGTTCTGAAAAAAATGAGTAAAAGGCTATGGAATTGTTAGATTGATTTACAAGTGTTCAATTTGCTAATTCAGTCCAAATCAACTATCTGATTCAGGGATTAGATCATTGCTTTGAACTGAACCTCTAAAGTTAATTCTTAGTAGAACATATTAGGTATGCCTATTTAGCAATGTCGTCTTAAGAGAAAAAATTTAAAGCCTATTTTGAACCTAATTCAGCTCAGTTTAAATACAATACCTACCAGAACAAAGTGTTTTGCATATCATATTCCTGGGTTATACATAATTCTTAGAAAATATGGTGTGTATTATATTAAAATTTAGTATTTTATTAACTAGATTTGTAAGACATCCCACCTCAAACAATAATACCAAAAGAGTGTTGCACTTCTAAATATAATAGAAAACAATTTTTTTTGTAGATAAGTAGTTGCTTAAAAATTGTTGGATGTGATGAAAAAATAAAATATTTTTAAATTGTAGGTTTGTGGCTGCCAAATTTGTGGTTCAGTGGCTTTGTAATCAGGAGAATCAACATGTACAAAGAATTGCAGTTAATGTAATCTCTATCCTGGGACTTAAGGTATGTGGCTTTATTTTTTAATCCAGTATTTTCATTAGCTCTCCAGGGTATTACTTTAAAAGTCTGCTTTGTTTTTAGCTTTCAGATGAGCAAGCAGCACAACTTTCTGCAGAATTCTACATTGTTGTTGGGGTGAGTCCTCTATGTCTCCCGTTTATAATGGTTCAAAGGACAAGGGATTTGTACTTTCCATATTTTTATATTATACTACTTGTAGTGCTATCCTTTTCCTTTATAGAAACTGCTTGAAATAATTGAACAAAAAACAAATCAGACTGAATTAGATGTGACTTTCCACTTTACACTTCGTGCACTTTGGAATCTCACAGATGAAGCTCCAACTCTGTGTGCACACTTTATGGACCACAAAGGATTGGATCTTTTCTTGAGAGTTTTAGAGGTAAACAAGGCAGCTCTGATAGGACACTACATGAGATGATAGATAGAACACAACATACATTTAGTTGGGTTTTTTTCTTTACAGATTTTTTCTTCTGATTCATCTATACAACACAAAGCTCTGGGCCTCCTGGTAAGATCAAAATCAGGTGCGGCATACAAAAAATAATTTCATAAAAATACAAGTAGTCCTCAACTGCCTCATACAGCAACAGTTGTGGCAGTGAGGAAAAAGTGACTTTGCAACCCATCCTCACACTTACGACCTTTGCAGGTCTGTAAAACAAATGAAAGCTGAGGTAAGATCCTAAGCACAGTCAGGGTTTTGCTTAGTGGTCCACTTTGCTTAATGTCTGAGTTGGGGGTCACTAAACAAGGACTACCTATGTAAGTAAATTATCAAATGCTTGCATTCGATTTCAAAATCTTGTTTTCAAAGTTATTTTTTTTCTCTATCCTAATAAGAACAACGTGGCGGAGGTGAGAGAGCTGCATCCCAGGCTAATGCAGAAGGACTTTGTGGATCATGTCAGTGAACTTCTGAATAGTGCTGAGATAGAAGTCAGCTATTTTGCAGCTGGGATTATGGCCAATTTGATATCCAGAGGTGAAGAAGCCTGGACATTGAGTCAAAAACTGAGAAGATCCCTTATTGAAAAGCTGGTATAGTGAATTCAGTACTGTAACTCTCTTGAGCATTTTAAGGTTGCCTGAAGTATTTAAACTTGTATTCTCTGTTAACAGCATTCAACCCTTTTGAAGTGGCCAACACCAGAATGCAAGATGGTGGCACTGCCAGCTTATAGGTACAGTGTTAAATCTTGAACAACAATTCTGTACTTACTGCTTGCATCCTTGTACGCTGTCTGCTCGCGTGCCAGTGGATTCCTTTCTTGGCATATGCAAACTTCCCACCCACATGAATATTAAAAATATTCCATTAATTAAACATAGTTAAAACAATGAGCATCAAATACACTGAGAACAAGATGTAAAACAGAAAGCTTTAATTCACTTGTGTATTTATTGATCTGCCTCTCATGAACATCATAGATTCTAGAATTTTACTAGATCAAATTAAAAGTCACATTTGTGTACATCTATAAAGCCAAGTGCAGTCAAAGTGCTGGAGATTATTGCTCATGTGCAACTCATTAGAAATAAGCCTGCAAATTTGAGTGCCCGTAACACCTTAGTACAGGTGTTTCCTCTTCCTCTGCTTTCTGTGACATCTTTAATATCAAGCAAGATTTCTTCTTAGAAGCTAGTTGGTTGGTAAACTCAGATTAGCATTATGCCCTACTAATTTGGGTAGCAGTGCAATACTTATATACAATTTCAGAAATATAGGGTGTGAGAAAAGAGAAGTGGATGCTGATATGAGCCATTTTTTAAGATTCTCTTTGGGCTCCCTATGGTGCAGAGGAAGAACCACCTGTTGAGCTTTTTATTCCTTTTTCCTCCATTAATATTACAACACTGGCTCGATATTTTATATTCTTCATATAGCTGATTTAATGGGTGAAGCATTTATGCAGGTCCTGCCATTAACTGTACTAATTCAGGATCGTAGAAGCCCAGACTGCCTCCATCAGCATACTGTGCTGATAGGTAATCACAAAATATCTTAGAAATGCAAAAGGTTGTTGTATTGTGGCTTCATTGATTTCACGATTTAAGAACTTACCAGGATACAAGTGCCTGATAGCACAAAATCAATAATATCTGTTTACATTTATTTTTTATGACTGATAAATTTGAAAAATATTCTTTAATTCTCAGGTCCCTCAAGCCTTTTTACCCATTGCTTGACTGCTTTACATTACCTGGAGTACAGATCTGGGCTGCGTGGGCTATTCTGCATGTCTGCTGCAAAACCCGTAGGTATCCTTCATTAAGCCTTAAAACTTTTATTTTTCAAAGCTTGGTGTTTAACTTCTTAAACTGAAGGTGGAACTATTGCATCAATTTGTAATTACAGTAATGTCAAATTTAACAATCCTGCTACCTGAGTTATACTGGTTGCCAATCAGCTTCTGGTTGTATTTCAAGGTGTTGATTGTCCTTTTAACTGAGGAGTTGATAAAGAAATATACATTATGCCCACCACCCCGGAGATTGAATTTTTTTTTTAAATAGAATGTTTTTTCTTTGAACTTTGTGAAGCTGCCCAGAATGATTTTGAAGTTGGGCAGCTTACATACAAATGAAGAATTAGAGCAATGGAGGAAAGGCATATGTGAATCTGACAGATATTTCCAAATCACTGAAATGTATTTGCCTTATATCTAAATCTTGACTGGAATTGTAAATCAACATGACTTGTAGTTTTAGTGATATTGAAAACAAAGTTGATTATGTTGCAGCAAGCAGTGTTTCCGACATATCCTCACATATTTTACCACTGTCATGTTTATGTTGAAGATGTTAACTAGCGGTCTTATTTCTCCTTAGCTGCCAAATACTGTGCAATGTTAATAGAAGAGAATGGGCTACAGCACTTATATAATATCAAAGAAAATGACCAGAGTGATCCTGATGTCCGGTATCTAATAACCAAGATATTAACTTATGTGGAAACTCATGTGAAGTATTATGGGAAGTCTAAACATCTAAAAGAACTACAAGGCCATTCAGATTCATAACTGAGGTCATCTCTCTACTTCTGCCATATACTGTTGACATCTGTACTGGTGATCTGTTTCACAACCCTTTTTAAAAAAAATCAAGATGGCCCTTCTTGAATCTTTTTCTGTGTTCTTAACTAGCTTTAACTTATGGCTCTTGTATATTGACAAATGGAGCAGAGGACCAACTCCAAAGAAAATTGGGCTTGTTTCTACTAAAAGTATGCAACAAATAATCAGGTCAGTCACAAACCACTGTTGTAAACTTGCGCACGTCCAAAGAAGAGATGCCGGCTTTAGTCTATTGTACATAAATGTTTGCAATGATTGTAAGCATACATCAATTACTGATTTTTTTTCTGGGTATACAAATACATATTTTTCTATGAGTGGGAAAAATCAAGAGACTTTTTAGGCTTTATCTAAAAAAAAAAGATATGTTCATTGATAGTATTTCAAACTGACTGCATGTTTCTGTCTTCAAGAAAATTGGTCGTAATGCAAAATAAAGCTTTCATAAGGTCAAATTCACTAGATGGTAGCTCACTATGCAGAAGTGAATTTTATTTTTGCTGTTCTTATTGGTATCATTGAGTGTAACATTTATATTCTCCCAAAGTGGGTGGCTTGGATTAATTGGTGTGAGAAGAAAAATCAGTAGATGCTGAATTTATCTTATGGAAAGTTGCTAGTACAGTTAAAGCAGTATATCTGAGGAAAATTGGTGGAAGCTAAAACTTATGAGGAAAAATCATAAGTTAAGCTGTCTCACGCACTTTAGAATAGTCTGTGGTAAAATAGGGTACATTTTGATCATAACTCATTAATGGAAAGGGAAAGGTCAGTGTATTTGAATATTTTGATTTTTTTATACTGCTAATTATTAGTCAAAGCTTATTTCAATTAAAGATCAGTATAGAACAAACAATTATTGCAGAATGGAGCCTATTTGCAAACAAGAATTTATGGATTTTGTCCCCTGGTCTCAGAAAGATCTCTAGATCATCTAAGCATAACATTCCTGGATATTTTCACAACTCGTAGGAAAAGTACATCCACTCGCTTTCAAAAAATGTCCTTTTCTGTGCTGGTTTACTTAGGAGAAGAAAAATAGCAAATCCCCCCTCTCTCTTCTTTAGCTAAATGAATGGTAAGAGTTGGGGATGTTTATGCTGGGTATATGAGAATGAGGTACTGAGTGGATAATCAATGCTAGGATTATTAGCAATATAAAGGAAAAGAACTATACAGGAGGTAACCAAAATGAGAAAGGGAATGAAATAATTGAAATCTGTTGCGTTTTACTCGGTGCTTCCTCCAGTCAGGGACAAAGAAGGGGGAAATATGTAGGTAGAACAAAAGATAATAAAAGCATTATAACTCAGATAATTTTCTCTCTCACACACACACAAAAATAAGTCAACATTCTAATTTGCTTCTAGCTTCTGCTACTTGCACTTATGTATTTCCTGGATCACCAATTCCAGACTTCTAAGATGCAGGAGGATTTTCTCCTGTGACAGAAAAAAAGGCAAAAAGAGCCAAAAAGGTCTTCTTTTGACATTGACTAAGAAGGGAAATCTTCCTGCTCTTGACTGGCCCTTTAACAGACTTTAACATGCATTCTTGTGACTTTTAACATGCATTCTAAAATTGCCAAGGTTGAGAAACACAGATCAAAGTAAATTAGATTTCAGTGACAGCTCAAACTTTACATCCTACACACCTGGCTATTTGGACATTAAATTTGGGGTGTCTAATATGGTATACTTACCTGTCTTACTTGACCTAACCCCACTCTATTTTATTTTTGATTTTATTAATGTCCATATTTTGTAACTAATATATTTCTTCCTGAACTCCCTTTTCTAGTTTGACAGCAACAAACATGTTTTGTTAATAAGCTCTATAAATAAAAATAACCTTAACAGATCTTACTAAGGCCTATTTTATTTCCCATTTTGCTCCTTACAAAGACCAGGGAGTTACCTTCATGGGATTCACAAATAGGAGGTCGAGACATACCCCACTCCTGCTGCTATTCTCTGCAACTGATATTTGGAGAGATTCTCAGCTCACTCCCAATGAATCTCAAAATTAATAGCCATCAGTAGACCAGTTTTCTATAAATTTATCCAACCCTCTTTTAAATACTTCCAAATTAATATCAGCACAATTTATTTATTAGATTTGTTTGCTGCCCATCCGACCACAAGGCGACTTTTGTGACTTGTTTTACAGGCAAATGGTGCTGCATAAAGCACATTATTTTATCTGTGATAAATTTCCTTTTGATCAATTTCATTGAATGAACCCTGGCCCAGAGAGAAATACCCTTTCTCCTTGCCATTCATCATTCTATGTATTTCAATCATTCTCCTGCTCCTGGTTCTCTTTGTTCTATGCTAACGCATCCCAAACATTTCAGCCTTTTCTTATAAGAAAGTTGTTCAAAAACCATGATCTTTTAGCTGTCCGGTTCTTCATTTTATATATTTTTTTCAAATACAGCCTCCATGACAGTACAGTTTTCTAATTCCCTTGTACAGACCATTACAAGTGTTGGAAGTTTTCTATCCCTTTCCTAATATTTTCTAGCACAGAATTCACATTTTTCACAACTTCAGATATCCATCATATAACCAGAAGACCTTTTCCCTGGTTACTGTATATATTGAAGCTACATGTTTTTTGTCCACCATGCATAACTTTATATTTATTTAAACTGAACATTTGCAATTTGGTTGACAATTGTTTAACCAGATCTTTTGGGAATTCTTCAAGATCATATTGGATTTTTTTGCCGCCATGAATACTTTGTATGATCTACAAATTTCACTAGAACACAATTTAACTCAAAATAAAGTATTTACATGCTACCTTAAAAGGTAGCTACCTGCTCTCTGATTTCAAAAGAACAGTCAATAACAAAAGGTCAGCAAGCAAGTCTGGAGAAATTAGAACTACCCACTATTAATAGATTGAGCAATGTTCTGTTGTAAGGAAATAAAGCAATGGCATACTTACACATTTTCAGTTAAGTATTTTAATCTTGAGCTTTATTCAGAAATATAATTCAGGAATGCAAAGAAAATACATATAGTTTTATATTATTTTATCATAAAATAATTGATGTTCTTAAAATGTTTAAGAAATTATAAGAAATTCTGCATTTGGTAGCCATTAAAAAAATCCCCAAAGGTAACAATATCAAACCACTTCCATCTATACCAAGAAAACTGCATTAGATTGATGCATATAAACTACCAGAAGCTGAACCTGACTCAAAGGAGACTTTATACATTATTGTAAATTTTCTTTGGAATAGAATCTTTTTTTGTGTGTGTGCATTATTTATAAAATCTTAACAAGTACAGCTGGTTGCTTTTTGGGATAATATATAGTTTCTCTTCATTTAGGAAATCTGTTCCTAAGTGAACAATGTGACAGAAAAAGTGACAGAGCAGCAATTGACAGTGTTATTCAGGTACAGAAATTTACTCATAAGTGCATTAAGTGCATGCTTTGGTTGGAAAATGATTTTTTTATCACTGTCATATTTGAATAGTAATACCCTTTACATTATTATGGTTTAGTTCTTGACATCAAAAAGAGATTTCAGGCAAAAAAAAAGTATAAAGCATATAAGGAAAAGCTTTTCAATAAGGCACAGCCTTTTGATCACCTCCTTGTATTCAGGCACTTTCAGAAATGGTGTTTTAGCCTCATTTACCAGTGAATTTTGGAAGTCGTTTCTCACTGAAAGCAGCCATTCCTTCCTGACGGTCTCTAGTAGGGAGATTCTGTGTTTAAAATACAAGTCAATCATTTAATATTTCATCTCTTAATCTTTTCAAAAGTTTTCAAGCCTTTCATTGACACACCAAAACTTCCATCCCCTCAAACTTCTTAAGTTTGTAGGAGTAGGACGATTGGGGTTCTAGCCCAAAACCTATATAGCATAGTCCTAGTTCCCAGCTGTTGTTTGTTTCTCCAGTCAAAACTCTTAATAGATGGTCTCTGTGTCTCATAAATAAATAATAGTCATTGGGTTTTGTAATTGTTTTTATTTGATCTACACTGTCCGGATTCATTTTGGAGCTGGCCTGCCTCCAAATATCATTAAATAAAGAAAAGGCAGTTTAGGATGTACATGTGTATGTGAATACACAAAAACTAATTTGATTTACTGGGGTTTTTAATTCATCTGATGGGTGTGGGTGCATATTTGTATTCAGAACTGAAGAATGGAGAAAAGTATAACAATCTAAATGTCTGAGAAGCAAGAACACACACTGAAGCTAAGAAGAAAAAACATTTTGTCTTTTTACTAATCTTTTTAAATTGTCATACCACAAGATTTGATAAAGTTGGGGGGGGGGGCACAAGAAACAGATTTTTTTTAAAAAAGAAAATACCTGGGCATAGCACATTCTTTCAATAGCCATTCCTGAAGCAATATCAACCTGAAAAGGAAGGGGAAAAAAACCTTTTGCCCATCTAAAGGAAAGCAGTACCAAGTTACCAATTCTGAAATAATATATTGAAGTACAGTTTAATGAATTGTAATAAATCATCCTGGACTTCCCCCAAGTTCCATCAGTGACATAAGACAAGGTTCTCTCTACCAAGCAAAGCTTTTGGCACATAAATATTAACAGATTTATTACAGGTGCAGCTACATTAGATACTCAGAGCAGATACATTTGGATTATGCCAGAGGTAGAGAACCTTGTGGGAATTTCAGTATGAAAATGAGTGTTACCTGTGCAATTGCTATATGTGCACATACACACTGACTCCTACAATAAACACTTAACTAAGTTACATTTTAAAGTTACATTTAAGATAACATTTAAGCAGACAACCACTTAAACATGAGCCAGCAGTGTGCTGGCAGCTGCCAAAAAAGCCAACACAGTCCTAGGCTGCGTTAACAGGGATGGAATTAAGCTCATGTGAAGTTTTAGTACCACTTTATAATGCCTTGGTAAGTCCACACTTGGAACACTGCATCCAGTTTTGAAATAAAAATATTGAGACTCTAAAAAGAGTGCAGAGAAGGGCAAGAATATGGATTAGGGGACTGGATGCTAAAATGTGAGGAACAGTTGGTATGTCTAGTCTGTCTAATGAAGAATTGGGGTGACATAACTGTTACCCGTTTGAGGGGCTGCCACAAAGAAGAGGGGGCCAATCTATTTTCCAAAGCACCTAAAGGCAAGACAAGCAATGGATGGAAACTAATAAAGGAGAGATCCAACCTAGAAATAAGAAATTTCCTGACAATTAGAACAATCAATCAGTGGAACAGCTTGCCTTCAGAAGTTGGTGTTCCATTACTGGGGAAGAAACTCAATAGCCATTTGTCTGAAATGGTTTAGTCTTTTGGGAGATTGGACTAGTGGTCTCTTCCAACTCTGTTATTCTGTGAATTGTTCTTCTGCCCTGCCTGACAACTCAGGAGACAGTTCTATAGTAACAGTAGTTGAAGCCTCTGTGTGGAAATGGTGATTTGTTATTATTTCTTCTATTTTTCTATCCTTTTTGTTTCTTGGCTGAGTGTACTATTACTGAAAATGCAGCACTAGAATGAAGAAGCAATGGTCATCTGTACATTTCTTATGTCTTCTTTTGATTCAGACAATGAAATAGATCTGTCATTCATGTCAAATTACTGTATCTGGACTGTAAATGTAGACAGCCACCAAATGGCAGGGAAAAGATATAGACAACTTTTAACTCTTGCCATGATATTAGCGGACTGAATTTCTGCAGGTTAGATCTGGAAGCTCTAAAAAATGTTGTGGGTCTTTTTGGAACATTATTTCTCTACTTTTCTGTAGAACTTTAAATTGAAGAAGCTTGTAATAAATCATTACCTCAATCCCTTTGTTTATAGCCAATTTACTCAGTCTCACAGCTATTGGAGCCTTTGAAAAGAAAAGAAAAAGCATTTTTGTATTGGAAATGTGTTTGTTTGCATGTACACAATGCACACACACACATGCACACACATACCATTAATTCAATCCCACAAGAACTAGTTTGGACAAAGTGCCTCATAAAGGAACTCATAATCAACAAGTGCTAAAGATTGCAATACATCATTTTCACAATGTGGAGTAAATACAAGACTGCCTCTGGTGTATTGCATAAATTTCTAATAAAAAAGGAAGATACTGAAGATGTTGAATTTACAGAACATACACTATTCAGGGAGGCATGAGGAATTTTGAGGAAGTCTTGTTTTAGTTTTAGTTTTATTTTCATAAAAACAAAAACAAAACTCCGTCAAAACTCCTGACGCCAAACAAAGTTGAAACTGTTGTAACCTAAATTGGAAACTACTTTAAAAGAAATGAAATCAAATTATAATTAGCTTTACATACTGTGTTTTCAAAAAACGCCAGTGTTCTAAAAATAAGAACCCAAAGAGCAACTATGTCAAGAAAGATATTGCACAAATTAGGGACGGGCCTCTTTAGCACAGAGCAACTTTAATTTCTAGTCATTTGAGAGTTATTTCAGTTCTCTAAGTGGAACTGACTTAAAAGAAATACTTATTCTTTATTTAGTTATGCAAGTCTCTTTACACCATAAGGCAATGGCCTTAGATGTTATAAATTCTCACAGAGACAAATGAAAAGATAGTTAAATCTTCTATATCAGTTTGGTTCCCCTAGGTGTAATTAATGAAGCAGGAATAGCAAAGTATATATTTTTGGTGCAGTAAAGCCAAATCATTACTGTTTATTCAGGATTTATGAGAATCCAGTTAATTTATCAATGGATGTCTTCTAAACTAAAAAGAATTCTTTGTCACCAAGAAATATATAAATATTTGAGACAGGTTGAACTTAAGACTTAATTTGCCTCTAGAAATTTACAGCACAATAAAAAGTACTCTATTTTTAAAAAGCAGAAACATTGTTTCTTCAGCAATATAGAGAGGAAGGTGAAGAACAGACTAACCTGAGGAACTATTTCTTCAGCTAAAGCCAATGCCTTTCGGTATGCTGCATCCCCTTCCTCATTCTGTGGTACTGTGTGATTAAGTAGCCCCATGGAGAAAGCCTCTTGCCCATCAATCTGTCTGCCAGTGAAAATGAGCTCCTTGGCTAGGCCAAGGCCAATGTAGCGTGATAAGCGCTGGGTTCCACCTAGACAGGGAAAAATGCAAAATTCCTCAATCAGATTTTACAGAAAGCTCTTATATGCCTTGGTTTCCATTTCAATTTCTAGGAGAGAAGTAACATAGAACAAAGGAAAAATTTTCCAAGAGGACAATTAACCAGTAGAAAGGCTTGCCTACAGAAGTTGTGGGTGTTCCATTATTGGAGACTTTTAAAAAAAGAGGACAGCCATTTGTCTAGAATGGTATACTATAGGGTCTCCTGCTTCAGCAGGAATTGGACTAGAAGACCGGTAAGGTCCCTTCCAACTCTGTTATTCTATTCTGTTATTTAATTCCACAAAGAACCATCCATATTGCTAAAGTTAAAAGTAATGATTATGACGTTTCTCCTAAATTCTGCTGATTTACTTGGGTTGAAATCTAGTTGTTACTAGCCTTCTAACATCAAACCAGGTTCTTACAAACCAGCCCTATAAGACAGGCTAGGTCAAGAAACAGGAGCAGTAGGAATTTTAAGGAATGTTTTTCATAGTAAAAATGTAAGATGGTAGAATGAAAACCTGCCCAAGTTTCTCTGTACCTCAAGTGACACTAAACAGAATCAAGGTAGGGTTAGAATTATAACTTCTAAAATTCCTCCTGATTAGTTCTTTCATACTTTTCCCAAAATCATATCTAAATTTCTTTATACTTGTATACATTATATTGGTATAGCGAACCTCATCTTAATAGAATAATTGGTATAAGCAATTTTCTGATATTCTTAATGTCTCTTAATACCAAAGTATGTTATAAAACTGATTTCTGGTAGTTGCTTATTGTACAAGTAATGTAAATGTGATGTATTACAGACTAAGCCCATTGCACTAAGGTGTGATCAGTTGAGATTTCACTGTAATAATTTTCATGAAAAGGTTCTGTTCTTACCTTGCATTAATTTATTTGGATTTAAAGTTTAGCATAACTATGTTTTTCGACATTGCCACCTCAAAACAATTCATTCCCTCAACCAGGAAAGGAAGCTGTTGGAATTTCATTTTTTTCTTCCGTAGCTAATAGGAAGCTAATCTAGCACTACCTTATTTTTTTTCACAGTTGGGGTCCCTTCAATTGGGTGGCAAAAGTAGGACAGTTTTCATGAGCTAATCAGTTCTCTTTCACCTGGCAAATGGAGGGGTTGCATAAATCAAGAGTGGGTTGATTTTCTACCCATTCTTATTTTACATGGATACATTAATTTCCAGAGCAAAGAAAAAGAGATGGGAAACTCCATGCTGGAGAGAGGAGAGTAGCAGATTTACTTTTCTGATTGATAGAGCAGAAAACAACATGTAATGGCAGCTTGATTCCTGGGAAAATTGAGAAACCTGAAGATGATCTTAATTGACAATTCCAGGCATGTGTGCAAACTCTTTGTGAAATCCTCAAGAAAATATGTATCATATTCATTTATGTCATAGTAAACTATTCCCATGTTGGAAAAACAGGAGTTATACAATAGGAATGTATAACAATATAAAATCTGAGAACTTATATTAATAGCTTTTGCTATTTTTAACACATTACAGTACAATTGTATGACAAGGGGCAAGAAAACTGATGATGCAACAACCTTACCTGCCCCAGGGAGAAGTCCTCTGGTAGTTTCAATTAAACCCATTTTAGCCGATGATGCTAATTTGAAAAAAAAAAAAAAAGACATATACAAGATCAAAATAGTAGTATAATAATGATATAAAGGTAGCACACATTTAACAAGTCTTAAAAATACTACAGTTTGGCTGCACCAAGTTTGTAATATAGGAATATAATAATGTCAACGGTTAGCTTATGATTTTTAGATGTTATAGGTTGAATTAAATTAACTTTTCAGAATAGGAACCAAAAGTATTGGTTATACACATAGTCCTCGACTTATGATCACAATTGAGCCCAAAATTTCTGTTGTTCGTGAGACATTAGTTAAGTGAGTTTTACCCCATTTTATGACTTTCCTTGACATAATTGTTAAGCGAATCACTGCAATTGGTAAGTCAGTAACCTGGTTTTTAAGTGAATCTGGCTTCCCCACTGACTTTGCTTTGTCAGAAAGTTGCAAAGCTGATCCCGTGACCCCACGATACTGCAATGGTCATAAGTATGAACCAGTTGCCATGCGTCTGAATTTTGATCACATGAGCATGATGGGGAAGCTGCAAAGGTTGTAACTGTGAAAAATGGTCACAGGTCACTTTTTCCAGTGCCATTGTAACTTTGAACAGTCAGTAAATGTAGTGTTGTAAGTCGAGGACTACCTGTAGTGATATTCTCACCTGCTACTCGAAGATCACAAGCTAGGGCCATTTCCAAGCCGCCACCCAAGGCATAACCATCGATTGCAGCAATAGTCGGCATTGGTAATGCAGCTGCAAATATGACAGAAACAGGATCATCAAGTGTGTTTTTGCCAGAATGGCACAATAAAAGAAAAAGCAACAAGAATCTACTGGAAAATCTACTGGAGAAGGAAAATATAAAGAACAAATGGTAGGAATATACAAGCGGTCCTTGATTTACGACCACAATTGAGCCCAGAATGTATGTTGTTAAGTGAGACAGATGTTACGTGAGCTTTGGCCCATTTTATGATCTTTGTGGCCACAGTTGTTAAGTGAATCAGTGCAGTTATTAAGTTAGTGACACGGTTGTTAAGTGAATCTGGCTTCCCCATTGACTTTGCTTGTCAGAAGGTCGCAAAAAGGGATCAGACGCGAGCCTGAGTCACTGCAACTGTCATAAATGTGAGTCAAGTTGCCAAGCATCTGAATTTCGAGCACGTGGCAACAGTCATAAGTGTGAAAAACGGTCGTAAGTCCTATTTTTCAGTTCCACTGTGATTCGAACGGTCACGCAATGAATGGTTAGAACTACAGTTTAGAAAAAAGATTCCATGATTGATGAAATGCAAAAGGATTGTCCTTACACACCTAGCATTCTGACAAGTACAAATAATTCTCAACATGTGACATTGGGGAGGATGTGCCAGAGTACACAGAGGTGCACAAGTGCTGGGAGAGGCGTGGCAGAGATGTGCAAGTGGCCAGCATGGCACAAGGGCAGAGGGGCTGGAAGAGAGTTACTCAGTGCCTTTCCTTCTGGTTTCCCTATTGATCATCTGGGAAAGCTGGCAAGGAAGATTACAATTGGCAATCACATGATTGTGGGGCATGGCAATGCAGGATGCAATAGCAAAAGGTTTGCCAAGCACTCAGATTGGGATCGCCTAACTGTGGGGATGTAGGAATGGCTGGAGCTCTGAGGACCACTCATAACCACCATTCCTTCAGCAATGTCATAGCTTTAAACAGTCACTAAACAAATGGTTGTAGGTCACAGGTGTTCCACTTCTTGGATTGCCTGGGCCACATTGAGAGAAGAATTGTCTTGGGACCAGTGCTGGTATTCTATCGGTTCGGCCTGGTTCTGGCGAGCCGGTAGCAGCGATGAGCAGCAGGGACCAAACCGGTTGTCTCAGCTGCTCTGCTGTTGGGCCCACCCGCCCACCTGGGCTCCCATACTCCCCTTTATCCGCTGAATTTGAAGCGCAGTTGCTTTGCGCAGCACAGAATACTGCCGCGTGGCAGCTGCTGAAGCAACTGGGATCGTGCGGGCCTGCAGGTGAGTTATAATGCCTCTGCACCTGCACAAACACCTATGCACCTGCGCAAAGTGCGTGTTTGGCATGCGCATGCATGCAAAGCGCGCCCACCAAGCCAAACCCACCAAACTGGTGGCAAAAATATTTCAATCCCACCACAGCTTGGGCCACATATAAAATATATAATATTATAAAATATATAATATGGTTAATGTGTATAGATCACATTAAAATTGTCAAAAGTGTACAATCTTGTGGGATGCATTACTAGCTGTCTGGGGCTATGTGCGGCCTGCAGGCTGTGGGTTAGACACGCCTGTTGTAAGTCAAGGACTACTTGTAAAGTTAAATGGGCCCTAGAAAACATTGCTGAATCATTGAAAATCTTACAGGATGATGTTTAAAGTGCTACTTATAGATTGTAAACACAGCAAAGGTCGAGAGAAGGAAAATATCACTTTATGTTCCAATACCAAAAAGGCAGTGCTAAAGAACGTTCAAACTATCACACAATCGCAGTGATCTCACAGGCTAGTAAGATAATGTCCACGATATTTGGAGTGACGTATAACAAGTTATGTACAAGTTAGATTCAAAACAAGCAGATAGAACATTGCTGATACCTGACAGATAATGGAAAAAACAAGGGAGTTCTCAAAACATTTATTTTTGCTTTACGGATAACACCAAGGCTTCTGACTGTGCTTCATATTAACAAGGCTGATTCACTTGTGAACAAAGGTAGCTTACCAATGTTGTCCATTAAACTTCTGAGCCTCTGAACAAAATGATCAGCTTCAGCATCGCTCATTCGGGCTCGCTCTTTTAAGTCGGCACCTACATTTACAAAACCAAGATATAATTTGGGAAACACGGAAAGAGAAATGCTTGATGGTAATGGATCAATATCTGCTGCATGAACTAGAGAAGAGTCCTATGATAGTAGAAGTATGCTTCATTATCCACAGACTCAAGCAGTATGTGTGTGTGTGTATATATTTGTTTTCTTAAGTTTTCCCGGGTACTTACATGTATGGCATTCAGCTTTGTTCGGGTATTTTCCCACGTCATAGTAGTTGCCAAAACATTGCTACAACTTTAAAAGCACAACTACATGAAGTGGGAAAATACCCGAACAAAGCTGAATTTTATATATATATGTGTGTGTGTGTGTGTGTGTGTGTGTGTGTGTGTTAGTTATTGACAAACACAATACAGAAGCCTGAAGATGGCAGATGAGATTCTGCCGAAACGTTGCTACAACTTTAAAAGCACAACTACAATGACATGGGAAAATACCCGAACAAAGCTGAATGCCATACATGTAAGTACCCGCAAAAACTTAAGAAAACACACACACACATATTATTTAATATTATTGACTACTGTTTAATAAATAGTAGATATTATTAACATTATTTGCATCGGTAAATATTGATGTGTAATACATTTATATCTATAATGCCAGAAGTCACACTCTTAAAACAATCAGAATAGAGCTGTAAAGGACCTTGGAGATATTCTAGTCCAACCTCCTGCTCAAGCAGGAGACCCTATACCAGGGGTGTCAAACTTGCATCTTCACAGAGGTGTCATGTGATGTATCGGGACCTTCCCCTCATTCGCTAAACCGGGCAGGGGTGGGGCCATCATGTGGCACACATCTGGCCCACAGGCCACAAGTTTAACACCCCTGCGCTATACCATTTCAGACAAATGGCTGTCCAGTCTCTTCTTAGAAATCTCCAGTGATGAAGCACCCATACCGTCTGAAGGTAAGGTGTTCCACTGGTTCAGTGGAAGGAAGCTTTAAGGAAGCTCCTCCTTAATTCCAGGTTGCTTCTCTCCTTGATTAGTTTCCAATCCATTGTTTCTTTTCTTGCTTCTGGTGCTTTGGAAAATAAGTTGACCCCCCTCTTCTTTGTGGCAGCCCTTCAAATAGTGGACTGCAGCTATTATGTCATCCCTAGTCCTTCTTTTCTCTAGACTAGCCATATCCAGTTCCTGCAACTGTTCTTCATAAGGTTTAGTTTCCAGGCCTTTAATCATTTTAGTTGCTCTTCTCCGCACTTTTCCCAACATCTCAACATCTTTTTTGTAATGTGGTAATCAAAACTGGAATTGTTTGGGTGACAAAAAAGCAAGGAGGGACGAGAAAATAATCTGTATAAATTGAATTAGTTATTAGAAGCTATCCTGCTCTATGGAGTAGAGAGTTGGGTCTCTGACAGAAAGCTACTTGAAGAGATTAGATAGAAGCATTTGAAACGTGGATTTATAGATGGCTGTTACGTATAAGCTGGGTTGACAAAATCAGAAATGAGGCGATTAAGCTGCCTGAGAAAGCCAAGGGAAATCATCAAAACCATTAAAAAGTGAAAATTAGAATATTTCGGGCATGCAATGCGATACCTGGAAAAATACGGCATCCTCCACTTAATCCTCCAGGGAAAGATTGAAGGCAAACAAGGTCCAGGCAGAAAAAGAACATCATGGCTTCAACATCTAAGAGACTGGTTTGGACAAAATTCAGCAGCACTTTTTCATGCGGCTGTTGATAAAAATAGGATCGCCAACATGATCGCCAATGTCCGATGACAGATATGGCACAAGAAGTTTAGAAGCGATTGTCCATCAAATAAAATAAATAATGAGAGCCAGTTTCGTGTAACGATTAAGGAATCAGGCTAGAAACCGGGAGACGCTGAGTCTTGCCTTAGGCACAGGCACAAAGCCAGGATGGCTTGGGCCAGCCCATGGGATGAGGCAATAACAAACCATTTCTGAAAAAAAATAGTCACTGATATAGGAAATATATTTTATTAAATAACCAAGTGGAAAGGATAGGTTAAGTCAGAGATCTCCAAACTTGGCAACTTTAAGACTTATGGACTTCAACTCCCAAAATTCTACAGCCAGCTATGCTATGTCGGCTGGAGAATTCTGGGAGTAGAAGTCCACAAGTCTTAAAGTTGCCAAGTTTGGGAACCCCTGGGTTAAGTGATGCATTTTCTTCCACTCATTCTAAGTTTTTTTGGCTTTTTCAAATAAAAAAAAACAGCTTTACTTACCAGCACAAAAAACACCCTTTACTTTGCTTTTGATTATTACAGCACGGATACTGTCATCAAAATGAAGAACATCAAGGATTTCATATAGCTAATGAAAGAAGAGAATAAATCCCAACATTCAATTCAATGAAAACTTCCTTTGAGGTCACAGCTATGTATGTGTGATCACGCTTTTTAGGTGATAAAATACATAAGCTGGTATGTGCATAATTTGTTTTTCCATATGTGGCTTCTGCTACAAAATCTGCATTAAGATCTAGGAAAGTACTGTTCATTGACAGTTATGCTTACCTTGGACACCCATATCCTTTCAAACAATATCTATATAAGGGAAAAGTTAAATACAATCACTTACTTCATCCACAAACACTTTCCCCAGGGCATTTCTGGCATGTGGTCTGTTCATCTGAATTTCTGTGATTCCTTTACTCCTCAAAAGAACAATAACATATTTTTTTAAAAAGAGATTTATGTCTTGTTTACTTAATCAAAACAATTCCAGGCCAACATTCAGTTCAAGCTCATAATAAAATATTAGAAAATTCAAACACTGTGCTTCAGGAGGTTTTTTTTTTAAGCACAGTCATCTCAGAGAAGCCTAAAAAGCAAATCTAGGAATAAAAGCAGCAGTAAAACTATTGAATAAATGTGGGCTTAGAAACTAATTAAGGTCAGAGTTGGAGAGCAGTCAGAAAATCATTCCAAAGAAGACTGTGTAACCCAGGTCCGTAGACCGATATCAATCCATAGCATGCCAGAAACCAGGCCACTCAGAGAAGCGAAGTCCCATCTGGGGGATGCTGGCAGCACGCAACCCCCCCCCCCAACTCTGCGCTACAGAAAAACCTGTCTCCATGGAACCATCCCTGCTGCCCAAAAGGTTGGGGGCCACTGTTGTAAAGCACTTCTAAATTGCAAAAGTCTAAGAAGTTATGAAAGCAAAGCTGCCTTGACTTTTTTTTACTGTATTACATTCTTTCTCTGCATTTACTTCTGAAATAGGATGAGCTGAGTGGAAAGGGGAACTGTGTATCATTTGAGTTATGTGCATTCTGCTTATGCATGGATATTTTAGGGCTTTTTTTGTGTGTGTATGCATGTGTCAGTCTTTATTCTTGTTGATTGCCTAGATCCGTGATGGTGAACCTATGACACGCATGCCAGAAGTGGCACGCAGAGCCACTTCTGCTGGCACGCGAGAGGTCGCCTGGAAGAGCCCCACCGCACATGCACGCACGTTGCCTGCCCGCCAGCTGATTGTCAGGTATCTGGCGCACATGCGCAGGGGTTGTGTGGGAGATGCATGTGCAGAGATGCACAGAAACATGTGGGGGGCTCACATGCACAGAGATGCGCACCACACACATGGAGATCGTGCGCACATGCACAGGAGGCATGGGGGGGCCCTGCACGCATGGCCTTCTGGGTGCTGGCATGTGAGGGTGCACCCGCAATTTTCAGCACGGGAGCCAAAAAAGGTTAGCCACCACTGGACTAGATAAATCCTTGCACTCTTCTTGAAAAGATTTCATTAGTGACTTGCCACTTCCTGCTTGCTAAGGCTGAGACAGTGACCAGTCTGGAGTCACTCACGTAGACTTAGGCACAAGTCTTACTGTATAAGTGCAGGTAGTCCTTGACTTAAGACCACAATTGAGCCCAGAATTTATGTCGCTAATTGAGAAATTTGATAAGTGGGCTTTGCCTCATTTTACGACTTCTCTTGCCACATTTGTTAAGTGATTCACTGCAGTTGTCAAACTAGCAACATGGTTAAGTGAATGTGATTCCCCATTGACTTTGCTTATTAGGTCACAAAAGAATATCATATGAACCCGGGACACACTGCAACCGTCATAAATATGAACCAGTTGTCAGGCATTTAAATGTAAATCTGGTGGCCATGGGGATGCTGCAACGGTCATAAGTATGAAAAATGGTCATAAGTCACTTTTTTCACTGCCGTTGGAATTTCAAACAGCCACTAAATGAACTGTTAAGTTGAGGACTACCTGTATACTGCTTCATAGTTACTCTTTATAGCTATACAAACTTTTCAAACTTCTGCCATGGGGCCTTAATTTCCTTACAAGAATCAAGCAATCTCATATGGCCAGAGTAAGTCCAAAGCCAACTTTGTTTGGCTTTGTGGGCTGTTTTCTCCAGGGCCCTCTGACAGCTACAGATGTTCCAAGGGAGAGTTGTTGTGTGTGTCCCCCACACACAAAACTTGGCAACCTTAAGATGTGTGGATTTTGAATCCCAGAATTCCACAGCAAGCTTGCTGAGGCATTCTGGAAGTCCACACCGTCTAAAGCAGGGGTGTCCAACCTTGGCAACTTTAAGGTGTGTGGACTTCAACTCCCAGAATTCCCCAGCCAGCTTGAAGCCCACAAGTGTTACAGTTGTCGAAGTTTGGAGACCCCTGTTTCTAAGAAAAAAGAATCCCTTTAATGAACACAATTGCGGCCTCCTCTAAATTCTCCCTTGACGATTGGCGCCTTCCCCGCCCAGCTAATAAAGGGGCGTGTCTCCGAGGTCTTCTACGATTGGCCCACGGCCTGGATCGCCCCAGGAAGAATGCGCGGGCTTTGATCAGGTCGCGTGCGGTGTCTTTTCCCTACCGCTCAGCTGTGGGAAAGGGGAAAAAATTCCTTCCTTCAGTCTAGTCTAGAGGACAGCTGCAAGCATTTTACTGCATGTCCCAGAGGTGCTTTTTCAAGAGGCAACCGGACTCTCTGGTTTTTCTTTCAATTTCTTTGTTCAGAGAAAAACCAGAAAGTCTGACTGCCTCTTGAAAAAGCACCTTTGGGGCAACCTTGATCCCGATGACTGAGAATCTCTCCCTCAGAATCTCCTGAGACATGTATCTCACAACTGGTTTCTGTAGCCTTGGGCCTTCGGGAGGGCTCCGGGAGTCACTTACCGCAGCCTGCCTTTCCGTGCACGTGTAACAGGATCTCTTTTTTCTTCTCTCCGGACGAGGGTCTTCTCGGGGAGATGCCTACAGTCCCCAGGCAGCTCTCTGTAGAAAGTAATCGCAACACAGCGGTTGCTTGGCCCAGGCGGAGCATTTTATAGGACGCAGCAGCTGGGCCGAGAATTAAACTTAACAAATTCAGGCAAAGCGAGGCTCTGCTATTAACGAAGAAAGGACGGAGGGCAAGCGAATTCCGGTTCGGTTCAAATAGCACGGATCTCTTTAATGGAAGTTGAAACAAACAAGTTTCAAACAACAAACTAGTTTCGGAGCAATCGAAGTACAATACTTTAGGGAAACGGCAGTAGCGCCCTCTTTTGAGCACGAAATCTCTTTTATTCCAAAAATACAATCAAAAGCTTCCTTAGCGTTAAGACCAGAGGTACCAAACTTGGCAACTTTAAGACTTGTGGACTTCAACTCCCAGAAGTCTCCAGCTAGCGTAGCTGGGAGTTGAAGTCCACAAGTTTTAAAGTTGCCAAGTTTGGGGACCTCTGGTTAAGACCGCCTGCTGATGATCTTACGCACAAGTCCGTACACTTTCCCCAGCAACTAATGCAAAAAATAAATTGCCAGCTTGAGGATTTTCTGCTGGTCTCACGTCCGAGTACTACCCAAACCCGAGTTTAATTCCAGTAGCTTTTGAATCTAGAGAGAAAGGATAGTGGAAGGCACTACTACCAGCTGCTAAGGCTTTCTTTTTTTTATAACAGGTGGGAAGGAGGCTTGTTCAATAACTTTGATCTGACTGTAACCAAGAGATTGTAAAGTGGCATGACACCAATGCAGCCATGGTCCTGTTCTTTACAACGTAATCCAGTTTTCCCAAACTTGCCAACTTTAAGACATGTGGACTTCAACTTCCAGAATTTCCTATGCCCCCCCCCCCCCGGATTTCTGGGAGTTGAAGTCCACATGTCTTAAAGATGCCAGGTTTGCAGAAACACTGATTTAAGGCAATGCTGGCTTTGAGATTCATTGCTATTATAGTACCAATAAAGGAGAACATATGTAGCTCAGGGTTGAAATGAGGGGTCCTACATAGTGCAACAAACACGCAGAAGACTGTCAGAATGCATCCATGAATACCCACTGGTAGAAGACATGATGAAAATTCTTTAATTTCACAATATATATAGAGATTTAACTCTAGTTTCAATTGGGAAAATATAACACTCCTAGACTAAGCCAAGTCCAAAAATGCCAGGGAATTTCTAGAAGCCTGGCACTCTGACAAATCAGCCATCAATAGATGTTAACAACATCCATAGAATATACAAAAGAGACAATCAATCAGCCCAAAAGAGAAAAAGACTCCAGCACCTCTCCACCATCAGATCAGCATAGATTAATTCCAAAGTCAATTTTGAACCAACCATCAAGCAAGCAATTCCACAATCAAGAAACTGCCAAAGAACCAACAGTAAACAGCCCAACCAAAGAATCTCTAAAACCGTCCCCCCACCCACACAGACAGGCACAGAATATAAAGCAAACAGCACTCCTTACTACCACTGTTCCTTGGTAATGAAACGTCTGGAAGAAAACTAGCCATCTCAGAAAGCACCAAGGACCCCTCTTTGCTGTTATGGTTGTATAGACTACCCAAAGTCATTATTGTGTGTGATAGGTGGCTATTTAAATTTGATAAATAAGAAGCGAATGCACCTTTCCTTCTAATCTCTGCTCTTTGACAGCTGCTCTTATTTTAAACAAAGTTTGGGGAACTAAAGCATTCTGCAATACTCAGAGATAGGCTCGCTCAGCCTGTTATTTCCGACTCATGAATTCAGGCTGGATTTTCAGAGTACCAAAGACTCATGCTACCGCTTTAAGAGGGTGGAGAGAGATCGAGAGTCGGCACCGCCTCGTCTTTCGATCTTTATTTGGAGGTGTTGTCAAAAGCCCGCGCGGGGAGGAAAGTCGCAGCGACTGTTCATTTTTTTCCCCCGTGCGTTTGGTGCTGCGGCTACGCAAGATCCTGGGCGCATCATGGGCAAAAGCAGCAGCAACCTGGTCCCGATCCATGTAGGGAAAAGGGTTTTTGTCATCGGAGTTGGTATGACCAAGGTAACTGGACTGGGCCGGGATACTTGGGAGTTCCGGGTTCTAGAGTGGAAATGCAATTGCTATCATCCGTGGTCACGTCTGGAAAGCAGAGCAGGTTGCTTCAAAGGGTTGGTGAAGTTGGCGTGGGAAAATGGTAAGGGGGGGTGGTTCTCTTTCTCGGCGGGGTCTTATCCATTGGGCACTTGATAAACTCAGTATTCCCCCAAGAGACACGGTCCTGCCTCCAAAACCCCTCATTTCTCAGTGCCTTCGAGTTTCGCGATTGCCTGTACCAGTCCCTGCAGTTTTCTTGTCAACATTTAGGAAGGGCTTTACCACTGCCTTCTTCCTAGGGCTGAGAAAGAGTGAGTGGCTTAAGGTCACTCAGTGGCTTAGTGGGCAAGCCTGGAACTCATGGTCTTCTGGTTTATTGCTGATGCCTTAATAGTTAAACCAAGGTTGACTCTCTTTTATAGTTATACTGTTAGCTATACTTTATAGCTATTCAGACCTTTAAAATTACCTGTGTGGCAATACCTCTCTGCAGTGGGCCATTGGTTTCTTTAAAAGAATCATTCTCATGTGGCCAGGATCAGTCCAAGGATGGGGCAAGCTTGTTTGGCTTTGCAGATTATTCTCTGCAGGCCTTCACAGCTACAGATGTTCTAAGGCAGTGTATATTTGTTAAGTTTAAGATGTGTTGAAAGTTGCCAAATTGGAAAAACACCATTCTGAGGGAAAGGTTGGGGAACCACTTAATACAGTTCTGAACACAGAGGTGGTATTCAGCAGGTTCTGACCAGTTCTGGAGAATCAATAGTGGAGAACCAGCAAATACCACCTCTGACTGGAGATTTTATAGCAGGGGTCTTCAAATTTGACAGCTTTAAGACTTGTGGACTTTAACTCCCAGAATTTCTCCTCCAGTCATGTTAGCTCAGGAATTCTGGGAGTTGAAGTCCACAAGTCTTAAACTTGCCAAGTTTGAAGACCCTTGTTTTATACTATCCTTCCCCTGGCACGACCAAGTCATGCCCACAGAACTGGTAGTTGAATCCCACCACTGTCTGAATACCTCTTAATTCTCCAGTGACAATTGGTGCTTTTTTACCTTTTTAATACCCCCTCCCCCTTTTCACCCTTTTGTTTAAAAAAAAGGGATAAGCAGAGTGCCTAAGACTCCCTGTCTCCCAGTTTCTAGTTTGGTGCTTTTACCATTTCACCAAACTGGTTCTATCTTTACCCAAATGTAAAATCCTCTTGCTTCTTTGTGGCTTGTTTATAGCTTTATCCTTAGAATAGCTTTGTGAGGTAGATTAGGATGAGAGAGGGCAGTGGCCAATCCAAGGCCATCCAAAGGTCAGGTTTACTGTAACTGTTCTGGTGTTGGGGGGGGGGGTTGGCAGAGATTTTAATAAGATTTCTTAATAAGATTATTAAGATTTCTTAATAATTTGAAGGATGATTTGGATTCCCTTTCAAGATCACATCTGGATGGGAGAAATTGCACTTCTTTATCATTCCCAAGCTATTATAAATGTTAACGGTTTTGTTCCCTTTTGAGAGTCCTTGGCATCATGTTGTATAAACATTTCTGACAAGTGCCCTGTAAGAAAAGTCCAACTTGTTCCTGTACTACAAAGGGAAACTGAAGTTAGAGTCAAAGCTCCATCTTGCTGTGACTTTTAATGCCACCTCTTCTGAAGCACTCAGAGCTCTCCATGTTAATATTTAATTTATTGTGCAACTTGGAGAAACAGGTTTTTAATCCTTGTTGCCTAAGATTTATGGACTGTTCCAAATTACAGATTACATTAATTAACTGAGGAGAGAGACAGAGAATTTGATGTACAATTGTGTACAGTGTTCAAACATCCCTTAAAAGACAGCCCTTTACAGGTAGTCCTTGACTTACAACAGTTCATTTGGTGTTACAACGGTTCAAAGTTACAATGGCACTGAAAAAAGTTACTGTCAGTTTTGCACAGTTACGAACTTTGCAGTATCCTATAGTCATGTGATCAAAATTCGGGTGCTGGGCAACTGGTTCTTTTTTTGACCATTGCTTTGTCCCAAGCTTATGTGATCATAATTTGTGACTTCCTGACAAGCCAAATCAATGGGCAAACCAGAGTCACTTAAGAACCAGGTTACTAACTTTTCAATTGCAGTGATTAACTTAACAACTGTGACAAGATAGGTCATAAAATGGGGCAAACAAATGTCTCACTTAACAATGGAAATTTTGGGCTCCACTATGATCATAAGTCAAGGACTACCTGTATTTCAGAAAGCTGTCCTTTAGATGTATTTAATTTAATTATTTGTTTTCTTGGTTTTGGTCTTGAATTTTCCTGTATCAGCAGGAGACAGTGAGTTCTAATCTTGCTCTAGGCATGAAAGCTGAATGGGTGACTTGGGGCCAGTCGCTCTCACTCAGCCCAAGCCAACTCACAGGATTATTGTGGGGAAAATAGGAGGCAGGTCTCAAATCACTCTGATAAGTCACCCCCCAATTTCTTGGACACAGTGCTGTGCCCTTCTTCCTAGCGCATACTCTGTGTCCTCCATCACTGGGCTTCCTTGGTCTCATCCCTTCCTAAGTTGTGCATGGTTGCGTCAGGTTGCCCAGGATCTCCCACAGCACCCCTGTGCTCCTTAAAATAGGAGGTGGCAGGATTATTCGGTATGCTCATCACCTTGAGTTATATATAAAAAGCAGGATAAAAATCTAGCAATAATTTAGACCTGAAGTTCTTTTTTTGGTCATAAGCATCTTCAACATTTGCTTTTTTTTCTAACAGTTTGAAAAACCTGGCCACCGTAAAAATTTTGATTATCCAGATATGGCAAAGGAAGCAGGTAACATACTGAATATTATACTTAACACTTGGGCACAGCTAGTGACAGATGTGCTATTTGCTTGGTGCTCCAAGCACATAGCTAGTGGCATAAACAGTCAAGTAGTATTGTATTACCAGTAGCCATGGTTTTCAAATCATGGGGCTTGAGGTTCATCTGTTTATGCTAGAGAGGTATGAAAATATAATTATCTGCAGAAGAGTAAGAAAAGCAATAGAAGAAATTCTGTGTGTGTGAACGTTAACTAAGTTATCTTCATTTTATAATGTTCCCTTTCAGTTCGGGCCTCTGCTTCAGAAGAGTAGGCAGGATACAATAAAAACCTCTGTAAAATACTTACTTAAAAATATAACATTAATGTAAACATATTTTAAACATTGCTGATTCCCTTA